TATATATATATATATATATATATATATATATATATATATATATATATATGATATATATAGATTTTATATATGTGTATTACAAATAATCATATCATATATTTTTGGGTATTCAACACTTAATTTTGCATAAATTAGATAGAATTTTTGCAATATCATTAATGTAACACCATAAAAAGCTTCTTTGTCGCTGGATGAATTCATTTGAAAATAACTTTTCAGAACCATCGTTGGAAACTAGGCTACCAATCAGGCCACCTGTTATTGCTAAGCCTCCAGAAGCTGGATCAACTGGTCGTTCAACATTATTTGTGACGGCATTCGTTATCATTTTATGGGCTCCATTATTATTTCATTGAGGGTACCTATCTATAAAATAGCATTTCCGATACTTTATATATCATTAGATAACTTTATTGATAAAATCTTAGCAGAAACAACGTTGATTAATTATCCATTTTGAAATATCAGCGAACAAGCCACAAAAAAAAAAATTAATTGTTGAAATTAATAATTAATAAATAAAAGAAAATTAATCATTTACTCTTTTACGTATAATTAAATTGAATGGCCGAATCCTTTGTTTCATTTTTTATCAAAAATTAACAAACAAATTATTCATTCAGTTTAATGAAATTATCCATTCAACTTAATGAAATTGTTCATTCAATTTAAACAAATGGTGCTTATTTTCAAAATTTTTATTTGAACTAAAAACTTCGTTTTTTCTTTTGAGTATATTGATGATAATAATCATTCTTTAGTATATTTATCACAAATATGCGTGAAAAATTCGATGAAAAATGCGTGGAAAATGGGATATGTTGTGAATTTTGCAATTTAAAGTGTTACCATTATCAACTTTTTCCTTTTTTTAAAAATTTTCCTGGCAGTTCCCATTTACTATCGTTTGTTTGTTTACTTATTTACCTATTTGTTTACTTATTTATTTATTTGTTTGTATGCTCATATGTCTCTTTATTACTTTTATTTACCATTTACTTCTTTTTTTTTGGTTTATCATTCGATAGTAAAAATTATCATTTATCGCTTATGATTAGATTTATTTCTTGTCGCTTTCCCCTGTCTTCTCTTCAAATCACATTCATAAAGATAAATTTAAAATAATAAATTAATGGAAGGAAATTTCACTAATTTATATAACTGCTATTCATTAATGTGTTTTTCCGTAATGCTTAACATTAGTCATATGATAAAGTGCTATTTTCATCTTTTTTTTCTCGATAATATTTTTAACATACCCTCACAATGTATCCACGTAATGGTGCCATTTTTGGAAGAGCAAACATTGATCTGTTAAATCTTTTCAAAAATCACTGCAATAATGATTTTTCTTCTTTTACTAAATTATATTTTATATATTTTGAAACATTTATACTAGAACTTTTATAGTATTTTAGTGTGCTGGTAGTAATTCATTGGAAATGATTCTAAATTAAATTTCTCGAATTTCATTTTTTCTGGCTCCTCTTCCTTTCACATCTCACAGAATCGGAAAAAGGAAGGGTATTGCTTAAATTCTCAAGTAAAACTTCACTTTTAAATTCATGGCAAGTGGAGATTACCACATATCATCCTTATTAAGGCGCAAATATCTACTTGTCCAGTGCATAAATATCACTCATACCACTGCCGCTTTCGATGTTTAATTTACAAATTATTAATTTCCTCATTTGCATATATAATTTGTTGCGCTATTTTGTTGAATGATAAAATACTTCTCTGTTCATATATAAAGTCTCCATTGATTTTTATTATTTATTTTCAATAACAAAAAGGTTTCTTTTTTTTAAAAAAAAAAAGAAGTTTAATTTTGCTCAATTGATTTCTTCATCGTATCTAAACAATATTTCGCATTATTTGCATTTTTATTCAAAATATTCAATTGAAAAAAATTTTTTTAATTATTATTTTTTTCTTGATGGCTTAAATAATTTGCTCTTTGCTGGCATCATTTTAATTATTATATTACAGAACTAGAAATAAGAGGGAGAAGAAAAGAAAAGAGAAATTGTTTATTTAATATTCAAATTCAATTCATGTTCTCCGTTTTTTTAGGTAGTTTAGTTTCTAAATTCTAAATTTCAATTATTGAACTTTTATATGCAAACAAAGATAATGGATTGTTAAGTTCTTTTTGAATGGTACAATAATGAAAACACACCTGTTACAGGGAGAGCTGCAACTTATGTTGTTACAGTAATCACATCTCAACTTATACTACCATATTCATTCTTTAAAAACTTTCGTTATATTGTTCATATGACATCCAGTTTTGAAATAAGTTAGTTTTGAAGAATGTTTTCAAGAAATTTAAACACCACACTTCTTCCAGTACGCTTGAGAAGTGTTGTTTCGCATCAAAATGTTGCGTAACTTACAAACTGACTATTGTTTCTGCATTGTAAATTGGACTATTTTCCGCACTGCAAATTGGACTATTTTCCGCACTGC